GTGCAATGGGAATGGGTGCAGCAACGGCAGACACAGCTGCCCGCCAATGGCTGTCTCCATTTCTGCACCCATTCACACTGCACTCCTCACGAGTCTCATGAGTTTCGCAAGAGAGAGAGAGAGAGAGCTTGTGCTGCCACCCGTTTTCTCACCTCCCTCCCTTCTTCCTCTTTGGGCTTAACCTCCTCCCAACTTCCGCCCACCGCCTGCCTGACATCCTACCTACTTCTTTCTGCCGTCCCACCTGCTCCCCCTTACCCCGACCTCCTCCCTTCTCTGCCTAACCTTCTCCTTACTAACATGCAATGGCAATGGGCACAGCAATGGGAGAGCCATCAGCGGGAAGCTGCAAGCGGCGCAGGAGCCGAACAAACAACTTGAACATTGACACCCACAGTGGACAACAGCTGTGGTGCACGGGCAACTTGATCATCAATACGTGCTACCCAGAAGCACTGACAGGAAAGGGTGAAACGCCATTCCACGCAGGCCACTAAGTCAGTGGTACCAGGCGGAGGACTCGGATCATCGTATGATCTTAAAATCTTAAGCGCACAAGACGGTCAGACCCTCGGTCTGTTAGGATGCAACGGCCCAGTTTCAAAATTTGTTACATCCATGCTACGATCCAGGCCATGGCCAGGTAGGACTGTGTACGGCCCAAACTTGAGATTTCATATATCAGCGGTTATAATAGTGTAGGGGTTGTGTTTTTGCATTTATTCTGGACAGGTCTCCACAGGGTCATACAGTACCCAGACACCAAACGTCCAGTACCTCCACAGGTCCACATGCCCATCTTGATGCCCGGACTGTAGGCAGTGCGTAACTAAATTACATGTCTTTTCAGTGCTTGGTCAAAGCATCTAGATCTGAATCTCTGCGTGACCAGATAACACATGCAATGTGAAGCCTGGGACAGAAATGAGTACCACCTCAGCGAGACTACTTGCCACACATGCAATGTGAAGCCTGGGATAGAAATGAGTACCACCTCAGCGAGACTACTTGCCACACATGCAACATACTTCTTGCCTCTTTGCTTTTGTGGCAATGCCTTTTTAGTCCACTGGAAGGAACCAATTTGTGGCCAATTACTTGTGATTTGGCTGATGCCCTGCAATTTGGCTGATTCACCAACTCGACCACCTTTCTTTAGGAAGTGTTGGTTCTAGAGCAAACAGTGTGAGAACGAGAGAAGGGAGAGAGAGGGACGAGGGACGTGAGGCTAAATAATGGCTCGATTTATTCATGGTTCCAGAGCACCTGCATGAAAGGCTGAGTACTCACCCGCACAATGTCCCCCACTACAACGTCACTCCACGGAACAGTTAGCCAAGTGCCAGAGCGCATAACTTCTGTTGGGCTCGAATTGATGATTTTGTCACTGTTGTATCTTTTCTGCAAAAACACACAGTCATTCTTGGTCAGCATACCACAAACAGACTGACAGATCTTCACAGTGCCATGGGTGATCCCTTGTATTTTCCATCATCACTACATAGCACATACTCCACGTCAACCTCATGGTGGTATGGGAGGAAGGGATGCACGTTCGTCTTTTTCTCTCTTTTTTAAATAGAGGATTTGCACTTCTCTACCTGTGGAACATCGAGGGCAAGTGTGTCATTCAGCTATTCTTGACTTCGTCGCCTTATGATCTTATCCGGCCTAGACTCGCGAGCTACGTGCTTACCCACCGCTATAGCGAACACCATCTTAATCTACCGAGTTACAAAACTTTTACGCCAAAAAAGAGGAGAAAAAAGGAACTTTTACCTATCCGGCCTAGACTCGCGAGCTACGTGCTTACCCACCGCTATAGTGAACACCATCTTAATCGACTGAGTTAGAAAACTTTTATGCCAAAAAAGAGGAGAAAAAAGGAACTTTTACCCGGTCCCCCCATGCAGGTCTGAAAAGAGATCCACCTAGAACCAATTCTTGTCAAGCCAATCCGCCACAAGTCAAGAGCAAAGAAAGGGGCACCGCAAAAAATCAAGCTGAATGTTAATCAAATGCAAGGATGGTGGAAAGCTCAAAAAACCGATTCTGGCAGTCAAATAACCTTGCGGTTCAGCTAACCTCAGACCTTAGACCAGCAGTCTGGACCATACCTCAGAGGAGATGATTCTCACTCACTTTAGCAGCACTCCCGATCTTCCATCTGCGAAGGAGGAGGCTGCACTGATATGTCATTGAGGTGGCCTGCTTGATCTCCTGATGTTTGCTTCCACTCCTTCCTCTCTTTCCTTTCTTGCACCGCTGACAAGCGATGCATAAACGACAAGATTCGTGATGTAGATGCGCACTTATTTGTGTCTTCAGCTTCGGTGAGAGGTAATTTGGGACGCTGCCAAGTTAGATTTGAGTGTAAAGAGAATTGTGAGTGCATTCTTCCTCCCTTTTCTCTCCACTGCGCCTCTTCCTTACCCCCACCCATCGGTGTATGTGTGAAGAGAGCGTCCCTCTATGATTGCTCCTCTTGAAATTTTGACTGCACCAATCAAATGCACGTCCATTGATCTTACAAATGTTGTCGTTATTTTGGTGTCGGATACCATTACACTGGTTTTGATGACAGAATGATATGGGTCTTCCACTTTTGCCATGCTACGTTCACATAGCTTTCGAGTCTTCACTCGTCAGTGCTTGTCATTCAGCTGTCCAGACACTTGCAAGATCTCCTTCTCGGTGAGTCAGGCCCTTGAAAATAATTTATCGGATTTTTCAACTTGTCAGCTCTGGTTATATAAAGTCTGGAGTCTGGACTATTGTGTGGGCTTCCTGTGAGTTTGTGTCAGTTTCTGATC